TGCTGCCATTTTAATCTTCTCCCTCCATCTGATGAATCCTTTTTAATTAAAAATAAATTTTTGACTCCCATGTGACCATGAATCAGTAACACTTTCAATGAATTTCAGTTTTATTAATTATAGCTTATAAATTCATTTGAAAAATGGGGGTTCATATCTATATGAGTCATTTACATGCTTATGAGTGAAAAACCCCTTGCAATATCGTTGTCCATCCCCATCCGTACCTATCAAAAATCAGACATTATGAACCATTACTCTGTACTACATAGTCTTTTTTCTCTTGATTTCAGTGTACATTTTTTAAATAGAACCATGTTTTTATTTTAGGGGATCTCATGAGTGGTTTTTTTTACTTTGTCCTGTGGAGTCCTAATTCCAGGAGATATCTCAGGGGTGAAACCCCCTCACCGTTTTGTCCAATAAGTATTCCAGTGGTAATCAGGCTGGTCTGCTTCACTCTTCTGTATTTTGGGGTTCTCCATGAGATTTTGTTTGGATAAAGAGTTTCACAGCTCAGAAAAATATTGTCAGTCACTGATAATCCACTTTCCCATTCTATACAATTATTTGTTATTCCCCATTAGTTGACACTGAAGGCAGGATGAGGACCCTGATTTTCTGACTTGCAGGCCAGTCTTCATGCCCCTACCAGAGCCGCTATTCATAGGACCAGTGGAGGATGTCAGCTGACACCACCTCCAGCTGGGAGGTGCAGCACATACTTATATGGAAAGAAGAAATTGTTTCTGACTCAGATCTATTTTCACCATTGAGTAAAAGGCCACATGGTATACATATTTGTGAATGCTGTCTTCTTTGGGTGTGGGCTTTTCTCACTGTTTGGTGTGGGTGGAGGGATGGTGAAGCTTTTTTTTAACTTAATTTTAGGAGTGATGCTGTGGGAAGACAACCATTTGCTGCTGCTTCTCTCCCAGTGCTGTGCTCCTTCCCTGTTGTGTTTGTGGTGCACGTTACCTTGACCTAATTTTTCCGCACTATTTAGAGTCTTTGCTCTCTTTCCTGGATTTTGTTATTTATCAAAGGACAACCTCAGGACTCATTTCTCTGCAGTGGTCACCTATTGATGTTAGTAAATCAACATGTCATCATGATAGCAGCCAAATATGATACTTAACATGCTTTGTCTGGCTACCTTTTTTTGTCTGGGGTATTAGCACAAAGCCATGTTCCCCTGAAGTTCACTGTGATTTTGAGGACTTGTTTACCTCAGTTTACCTTGGATGTTTAGTGCTGTAGGTGATCCAGAATAGTAAGAGCGAGTGTCTGGTGATAGTTTACAGAGGATGCCATGTTGCTCTCAGCTCCATGCCTGGGTGTGGCACATTGAGTGTTTCCTATTCAGATTCTTCTGGCTGGCAGGGCTGAGGCAGTGCTGACTGCTCCCATAGCCCCCTGACCGGCTGCTCTGCTTCCTCGTCCTCAGCAGGAAGTCCTCTTCCTCATGTGTGGAGATGCTTTCATGTTAACTGCTGCGAAGCCCAATTCTTCTCTTCAGTTAATAGTTTCAACTTCCTGCTTTCCTATATATTCTAATATATCTACTGATAAGAAACTGAAGTGATTTTTTCTGGCCTAGCTCACTGTTTATTAAAGCAGAAGAGCCAAAAGTTAGGAAATAAAAGGAAGAAAGAATAAAATAACATGAAAGAGTCTTATATCTGAAAACTGATGATTAGATAATTGAACAGTGATTTTTGCTTATAAATCATAAAGCTGAGACATAAGGGGGTTTGGGCAGCTAGTGAAAGACTTGCACAGGAATTTCTTTTCATTTCCCACACAGAAATTAAAAAACTATCTGCTGTCTTTAACAGGAGATATTTTCCTTTCATCCATCAGCCCTTCACCAGTCTGTTTTCTTTCACAGTGAATTAGGATGACAATGGCAAGTTCTTTGTGCACCTAAGGAAAGCTTGGGTACAAGCGCTCTAGCTGTCATAGCATATCAGCAACGCCACTCTGGGGAAAGACTCCCTAAGTTTCCCTCCAGGGGAAAAGCTTGGTGAGTAGCATAGAGTCTAAAGGGCCCTTAAAGTATGTATGCATTTAATGTGCTTCGGTGGAATCACTTCACTAATGGTGACTTAGTTTTCTTCTCAAGGCAAATTGGAAGGTGTTAAAATATCCATCACTGAATGTCCCTCGCTGCCACCTGTGCCTCTGGGATTGTTGATTAGCTTGCTGTAATCACAGCCAGAGGTGCCTGCTATCTCGGGTAAAAAGAGTAGGAAACGAGCCTCAAGGATTATTGACCAGAAGCTGTTTTTAAAAGACATCCCTAGAAATCTGAATAAGATCTGTAGTCTAGCTAACTGTAATGTGTCAGTATATATCAATTTTCTGGTTTTAATAATGTACAATTGTTATGTAAGATATTACCAATAGGAAAGGCAGGGACTTTTCTGTACCTTTTTTTGGGCAATTTCTTATGAGTCTATGGTTATAACAAGGTGAAGAGTTAACAAAAGACCCTGAGGAGAATAATTGCCATTCCAGGTGAGACATTTCAGGTCTGATTTCCTTTTCTTTCCTCAGCTTTATTGAGTTATATTTCACATACATAAGTCACCTGTTTTCTACTACAGTGAATTGTTTTTTTCATGGTTCATTGTTTATTCATAGAGTTGTACAACCATCACCACAGTTTTATCCTAGGAAATTTTCAGCTTCCCGAAAAGGAACTCCCTAGTCATTAGAAGTCATTTGTGTACCCCATCTTTCCTCCCATCCCCATTCCAGGCAGCCATTGTTATGCTTTCTGTCTGTATTGGTCTGTTCTGTACATTTAATATAAATGGAGTCATTCAACATGTGGTCTTTTGTGACTGGCTTCTTTCATCAGTATGTTTTCAAAAGTTTGTCATAGCATGAACAATACTTAATTCCTTTTGGTTGCCAAATAATATTCCATTTTATGGATATACCACAGTTGGTTATTCTTGGACATTTAGATTACTTCCACTCTTTGGTTATCATGAATAATGCTGCTGTCAACATTCATGTACAAGTTTTTGTGTGAACATATGTTTTCAGTTCTCTTGGGTAAAATCTGAGTATAGAATTGCAGGGTCATATGGAGACTCAGTGCTTAACATTTTGAGGAACTGACAAACTGTTTTCCAAGGTGGCTGTACCATTTTATATTCCTATCAGCAGTGAGTGATGGTTCCAATTTCTCCACATCTCATCTATTTATTAAATACTATATTTTTGTTGTGTTTATGAAGTGTTTCCTTTTGGTGAGTGTAGGAGCTGAATGATAATTTTAGAGGAAATGAAACAAATGAAAATCAAATAAATCATTTTCAGATTGGCTCAGCATAGCTTTGGAAACCTTTCAGCCCTGAGCCTATAAACCTTCCTGTTTGACTGGATATGACATTACCAGGAATTTTACTTTCCTGCTTTTATTCTCCCTGAGGAGATTCCACGGGAACACATACTTGGTCTATGCTCGGAATAGTTTCTCTAAAATCATTCTCTTGGTGCTGCCTCTGTGCTCTTCTCTACCAGAGTGTAACGTAAGAGCTGAATCAAGGTTTGTTCAGTTGGCGTTTAGAAAAGAAATAGTGACTGGATGCTGGTCAGCTGGCTTGGGGCTGCTGGCAAGCCTGCTGCAGACCATGCCTTCTGCAGGCTGTAGCCTCACAGGCTTGTTAAAGGCTTGTACCAGGCAGTGGTGTTTGCATTTGCTCTTGCCTGAGCTCAGGAGAACAAGGCCTTTCATAATTCACCGTGGCAGTGAGCAGACAAGTCAGAAGATCCTGGAAATGGCCTAGAGCACCAGTCAAAGACAAGAACTCAGATCCTTTGCCCTGTGTGGCTGACTTGGGAAGTAGGCAGGGAAGGGAACACCAAAAATGTCATTTCTTAGTTCTGGTATTTGGATATGATAATTCCCACTGTCTTCTGGCTGCTGTTGGTTACTTTGGGTCATGTATTAGCAGTAAGCAATCGGGGTATTTTGCCTGCCGAAACCACACTGTAACAGAGGAGACCTACGTCTCATGACTGCCTCTCACACACCCCCTTATTTTTATTCTTGCAAAGCAGAACTTCATGAATGATGTTTGCAAAGGTAGAGTCCCTCCAGACTTTTTACATACCCAGTGTGAGCCTATGTCCGTCTCCCTGTGGCTGGGGCTCACTTCACATGGGTAGGGTCTACAGGGTCAGTGTTTGTTTATAGGGCTTCTTCACCCCTGTTACGTCTGGCATGCTCTGTGATCGCTGTCTAGTCATACGTCTTGTGACTCCGTAGTGTCTGTCCCTGAAGTGCCTTACTCAAATCAGGAGAGGACCCCATGCTCCTATCTCCTCTCCATTAAAAACTTTCCATCTCAGGCACATCCTGTCAGTGTCCTGTGTTAGATCTGTCAAATCAATATCTTGCTTCCATTAAAATGAGGTTGAGGTATATATATATATGTGTGTGTGTGTGTAGCTTTTGTACAGCTGCCTATTTATGCCCATGCAAATTGTCTACCCATGTTATTATGCCCATATTTCATAGATTAGGCAAAAAAAGATTTTAAATACATCATTTCAGGAGTGAATTTTATGTCACCATGAAGTATTAGAATACTTTAGAGTAATGGTTGATGTGTTTTCTGTTTTAACCTATTGTATAATTTCTGTAGTAACTAATGTATTTGGCTTAATGACTTCAATTGGAACTGCAAAGAATTGAATTCTAAATATATACAATACATATATATTTCTTTTGACTTGTTTGTGGTCCAGCCATGCTTTCTTGGGAATGAGAATTCATAATACCTTCCCAAACTCCCCAAAATAGGTGTTTTCAGCAGTTTTTAAATTTTTAAAACAGATCTTTGATACACATTTTTTCATCTGGCATTGTGTTTTCCTGATCTTGAGAGAAAGAGAATGTCTGAAAAAGGCTCGTTCTCATGCAAGTGTGAGGTAGAACTGACTGTTCCTAATCTATATATACATCTTTTTTGTTACCACAGTGGATTCAGAGAGGCAACCTGTCTGACCTTCCAGGCCTCAGGACCAGCTCCTTGTGAGTGTCTGTGAATGATTTTTAAGCAGTAAGGATTTGTAAGTATCAGTCACTGTAGGACTTCATAAACTAGCTACTTTCAACTTGAGTACTTTAAGTGGATTTATCTGCAATACAACTTATCTACAGAAAATTGTCCTTATATCTCTTTGTGGTATTTTCACCTTTAGTGGTCTTTTGATCATTATCGGTGTGGTTTGTAACTGGAGTTATGTGAATCTGAGAATTGATTCTTCTAAATAAAGCATGTACTGTTCTGTCCAGTATGGTATTGACTAACCATATATAACTATTTAAGTTATAATTAATTAAAATTAAATTAAAAATTCAGTTTCTCAGTCACACTAGCCACAGTTCAGACCCTCATTAGCCACATGTGGCCAGTGGCTACTCATTGGATAGCACAGATATACAACATATCCATCACCACAGAGAGTCGGCTGATGATAGACTTTTCTCAGCCCCAGAAGGTCCAAGCAAGATGTTAATCACAGCAAAGCAAAAGCTTTACTTAGGTGAATTCAGGTGCTGGAAAATTGCTGCTGTCTTTCTCTGACCTAAAATGAGAAAAGTAAGTGGATGTGCTATTCCTGCTGTTTTTTTCTGGCAGCGTTTCCTTACCATGGCTTGGTTACTGAGGGCTAGGAATGTCCAGTAATGGAATTTGCCCATATTCAAGTAAAATATTTGGAAACAGTTTAAAAATAAGTTATCTACCATCCCCTTCCATTAGAACTGATACTTCTGTTTCTATGTTCAGGAGTGAGATGAGGGCAAAGTAAATTTTACAAAGATCTGATTATCATTATCAGCCTATTTTCTAGCAGCATACATATGTATGAGTTTTGTCTTATTTAGTCTTTGACCTTTGGGGATTAGACTTCATTTTGGTTTTCATATCTATTGGCTACTAGTTTGTCAGAGATGTTTTTAAGACTGAATGTTTGTTAGCTATCTTTATCCACCTTGCAATTTGAAATCCCGAGTTACAAATTTACAAACAGAAGAATTGGGCACAAATTTCTCTCTCCCCCAGCCTCCATATATGACTGCTAAGTTCATAATGCTTTTGTGTGACTGATACTGAGTGTTGAGACTGCCAACAAACAATATACCATAGACACACAATGTGTAAGCTCTCTAGGAAGGTCTGGTAAGTGGACAGAGGAGTAGCAATTAACTGAAAGACCTTTCCTAGTTAATGTGAGCATTCTTTGTTTAATTTCCATTAACTTGACTAATTCTCAATGGCTGGCAGATATGATATATAAGTCTGTTCTTTCTAATGTTGGCATTTAGTGATGATAGTGTCTACATCAAATTACATCTAAATTCCTCTCCAAACTTAGGCCAAGCATGTGATGCTGAAGAGAATTTAATACCCTCCTCCACTACCACCACCACCATCACCAGCCACTTCAGAAACCTTGTACGTGAGGTTGTGTGAGTTGTTTTTTTCTTTAAAAAATTTTTTTTTCCTGAGGGCTGGAAAAACTTACTCCATAGCAATTAACCAGTTCTTGGCATAAGCCCCTGGGGAGACCACTGGCGTGCTGTGGCACGTATCCTGGTTCTTGTTCTCTGCTGTCTCTGGGACAAGCAAGAGCATTTTTCTTGTTATAACAAGAAAAGTTATAACAAGATATAGTTATAGATGCTTCCTGCTGTGGATGTAGCTATTTGTTTTGAAAACACAGGTTTTTCAGGAGGGGCTTTTATATTCTCTCCTTCATGAAGGATCACTCATATTCTTTATTTTTTTGTTATGTTTCACACATGCATATAACTGGTGACACTTTTTTTCTTAGTCCATGATAAATTTGTATGTAGACTAATACCCAGTATGTAGCAACATACTGGCCCTTTCTTTGTTCCTTTTCTTTTAGTTGTTGCATCAGAATTATTTTGATTGTGAAGCAATAAATATAAGCAAGAAACAAAAATTGCCTCCAAGAGTAAAACTTGGGCTAGAAAATTGGAATTTCTACTCTCTAGAACTGGATCTTAGATCTAGTCAATACTTACTGCCAATGCCTTTTATGTATTCATGAATCTATAAACATACAATGTTCAGTCTGAACATGCATGTGGCTTTCATGTGTCCTGATTCACTCGGCTCTTACTTACTCTGGCTTCTTGTTCTCAGGATCCTGCTTTTCCAGTCCTTTGGTGATAACTCCTTTGCCTCTCATAAACTGTGTTAATTGCATCCAGCCATGACTTTAATCATTCATAACTATGGTCCAACAGCATGCTACATATGCATATATTTACCTTGTTTGGGTGCTCGCCATAGGCTGTGTTTGGACCCAAGATGCTTCCTGCTGTGGATGTAGCTATTTGTTTTGAAAACACAGGTTTTTGAGAATAGTATACATTGCCCATCACTGAACCATAATAAAAAGTATTGTCTTGGCTTTAGCTCTTGGTTTTAAGCATTTAACCCAAGTTCAAGGCCTCTCCTTCTGGGATTTTGTTTTACCAGAAGCTCCTGGCAAGAGATAGAATGATCTGAGGAAGAGATTCATGAAGTCAGAATTGATGGCTCTATTCTCTAGATGTCTAGAACTTAACTAAATTTTAAGCTCCTGAAGGCAGTGGCTATATATTTTAGTTTATTACCTGTATTTAACCTATAAGTACTTACCCTATAGTCCTTACCCTAAACCTATAAATGGTTGGTTATTTTTAGAGAAAACATACTCAGTGTGATTTTTTTCTTCTTTTACATTTTTGTTAACATTTAAAGGTGATAAAATTGAATATTCTATATTAAAAATAAATTTGCCTAGTTTTGAACAATGAACTGGCTTATTACATGGTTTCCTCATTGACCGCACTGATTATTGCTTCTGAAAATATTTCCTGTGACTCTATTAATGATAATTAATAGCCCTCATCATGAAGCCAAGAAATGATATGATTAGTGAATCAACACTGAATAGACAGTGTTTCTTCATTTTAGCAAAATGTAGAACTTGAGCCTCCTCTTTCTTTGTCTTTGCTTGCCCTCTCCACCTTACTCCACAGATTGGTTTCATCCTATTTCTTCCATTAAGCAGTGAGGACCCCTGGGACTAAAGGTGGCTTTAGGATTCTGGATTTGTCAGGGTGGTGCACTAGAGTGCTGGGTTTGGTGAATACAGATTTTGATTTGAGTCTGTCCTTGGTCCAGCTTTGCCACTACTAGCTCTGTGATTCTGGGCAAGGTTTGATCTAATTTCTTCTTTTGTAAAATGACTATTATGCTGCTTGGCTTCCCTGCCGACTTAGAAGGGGCTTGTGAGGATTAAAGTAGTAGTACATGGAATCATTTTGCACACTACTATAAAATGTAAGATCTTGCTATTAAAATGAATAACAGATTGCCAGCGAATATCTGTGAATTGATATTTATACTCATTGAACCTTCTCATATGTGTGTCAAGAATCTCAGACCTAATGGCATTGGGGCAACCAAGAACAACTGCAGAAAATCTAATGGAACATACGCTCAAAATGTATTTCACTTGCATGATGATGATTTTTTTTGCATTTGAATGGTCAACTTGGTACCTCTTATTATTTTCAAGGAGTTTGAGAATGGAGCTCAGAACACTTTTCACCGGAGTCTATTCAGTGGACTGTCCCTTGGGACATTCGGTTTGGTGGAGGGGTATTGAACAGTTGCCTACTTCCTTAGTGTGCTGTCTTCTGGGCTGACTTGGTTTGCACTGTGTAAGATCACAGAGAAGGCACCAAGTAGCAACATACTGGCCCTTTCTTTGTTCCTTTTCTTTTAGTTGTTGCATCAGAATTATTTTGATTGTGAAGCAATAAATATAAGCAAGAAACAAAATTTGCCAGAAGACTGTACTTTGGCCCTTCTACCTATAAGGTAATCTGGAAATTACAGGTGACTCTGGAGATTCAGAATCCCAGGGATAAAGTCTGCTTGGTCTTTCTTAGGTCTTTGCTCACATTGGCATGTTCTTGGCAGGGGTGGAGGGCAAGGAATAGGAATGAGTCATTCCCTGTAAAATCAGCTTGCTAGATAGGCAAAAACAACAAAAAATTTCATCAGGATTCTCAGTCCACTGAAATTAGAAAGGCAACTTAACTTTTTATCTACCTGCATGGATAGATAAAAAGTTTATTATTAACAAAATAAATAGAAGTTGAGAAAGATTGAGGAGAGAAGGATCTTCATTGGATTGGGAGGTGTTTCTCCTGACAATACAATAAAAGGGCCCTTTCCCTTAATTTAGGAATGGGCCATGGTACTTAGTGGAGCCCCTGTGTCATTTTAAAGAGCAGCATGTGTGTACATAGGCTGGCACTGCCCAACTCCAGTAACAGAAAGTACCATGTGAATAGTGCCCCTTGCAAAGAGGCACTATTCATACAGGTCATACAGGAACAGTTGTCCTCAACTGTTTCAGTACAAGGAAAAGATAGAGCTTGGTGGTAATGACTGGGTGGAAGAAGTCACTGAGTCCCATTGTGACAGCCTGGCTTTGGAGCAGCAGGTAACACCCAGTACTATTCACAGTCCTGGATGTGCATATGGGTGCCCAGCAGGGAAGCTGTAAGGGCAAACAAGCCCCCTCTGCCCTCAAGAAGAGTCCAGGTTAATGGAAAAGCTGCAAGTGGAGCAGCTTCTCCTAGTCATGCTCAAGAGCACCAGGTTTGGACACTGGGAGAAATGGCCCAAGTTATGCAAAGTCATGATTTCTACCTTTCCATATCTCTGTTTCTGTTGAATTCTTTTCCACCTTCTGTACTTCCATAAACATGTTCGGCCTAGGTCTGTATAATTTCCAGTAAAACAACTAGGTACTGTTTTGAGTCAAAATATTCATTTTTCCATAGTCAAACTAATTAATATATGATAAACCTTTAAAGTAATTCTCTTATATTCTAATTTTAGCCTCTGACTCTATACAAACTCAGTAGCAAATACTGTTGCTGCTTTCAAAAAGTGAACTACTATACAGAAATGGGCTTATATGTGGGCAGGAAAGGTGTGGTGTATCTTTCGTTTCCTTCCTTCTGTTCCTCACTCCTGAAAATGTGCTTTCAGTGAAGAGCAGGGAAAGTCCCTGGCTCTCCATTACAGACCATCTATGTAGATCACCTTCTGGTCCTATTACATTGTTTAACTGAGACAGCTGGCATGAGATTGTAAGATCTGTGTTTTTGTGAAGGTCCTGGAGAACTTGTTTGGGATGGCCAGGTAAGAGAGGCCCTGATTTGCAAGTTTAATTTGTTCCAACTCTGAGCATTCATATAGTATTTATCCTATGCTTCATAAAGTATGCAGAAAAATGAGAGGGTGTGTACGTGGCCTGAGTTCTCTGGATAGGTTATCCCTAACCTTATACTTGGGCCTCTTCTTGTATCCAAACGTGGTGCTCTTGAACATGACTAGGAGAAGCTGTTCTACTTGCAGTTTCTTCCACTAACCTGGACTCTTCTTGAGGGCAGAGAGGGCCCTTGTTTACCCTTACAGCTTCACTGCTGGGCACCCATATGCACCCATATCCAGGACTGTGAATAATACTGGGTGGTACCTGCTGTTCCAAAGGCAGGCTGTCACAATGGGACTCAGTGACTTCTTCCACCCAGTCATTACCACCAAGCTCTATCTTTTCCTTGTACTGAAACAGTTGAGGCCGACTGTTGTTTCTATTTGACCAAAAAGACATCCCTATTTGTCTATCTAGTCTTATGTAGTGAAATGGGATCCTTTGGGACTCCATTTTCTTCTTTTTCACACTACCATTGTATTTATATAATTTTAAATAGTGTGGAAAAAAGAAAGTTTACCTTATTTTTTTAGACTTATATATGTCTTTTTCTACCTGCCATTGGGGAAAGGTTTACAACAGCTGGGGACGCATGGCGCATAGGAAACCTGGTTGCTAGTAGGTGTGCTTTTTGAAAAAGTGCTGGAATTACAACCTATTTTGACTCACAAGTTGGTTTACCTTACCACTTTTTTATTTTTAATCTTAAGTGGAAAAAAAAACCCAGGCAGTGATTTTGAAATCTTTTAAATTTGTGGCATGATAGGAAATGCAATCACAATGTCAACATTCTGTCATCTTCTATTTATCTTTCTTTATGGAAAAAAAAATTACAGTGGTTCTCACTGACACAATTCCAGAGACCTAATGGTTTCCAATGACATAAGTTAGATGTTAATATGTTTTGCCTAGAGATATTATCAGCTTTTCATAGAGTTTAGAAATGACATTCTTGCCCATTATTGTCTTTTGTGTGTTACTCCGTTTCTATCCCGCCCCAAGAGAAAACTAAAGAGGAAATTGCATTTTTGCATTTTTACTATTGGTTGAAAATGGTTTAGAGCATCACTTGACCGGGTGATATCTGGAAATTCACTTAACGCCAACTACTTTGCCTTCCCACATATTTTGAATGGATGCT